ATTTGTGGAATCTAGAAAAATAGCATAGTGGTGGTTTAGTCACTAAGTCATGTCCGACTCTTGCGACCACATGGACTGTAGCCCGCCAGGTTTCTCTGTCCATGGGATTCTCCCAGCAAGAATACTGGAGTGGGTTGCCATGCCCTTCTTCAGGGGATCTTCCCGACCCAGGGATCGAACCCAGGTCTCCTGCACTACACGTGGATTCTTTATTGGCTGAGCTACCAACAATAGCATAGATGATCTTATTTGCAAAGCAGAAATAGAGACACAGATGTAGAGTATGGATCCCGAGGGGGTTAGAAAGGTGGGATGAATTGAGAGACTGGGATTGACTTACACACGCCATCATGTCTGAAGTAGATAACTAAGGAGAATCTACTGTACAGCATAGGGAACTCTCTTCAGCGCTCCACTCAGAAATGGGAAGGAAGTCCAAAAAGAGGGTAGTGCAACAGAAACTAACACGACATTGTAAAGCAATTATACTCCACTTTTTAAAAAATCCATTTTTAAAATCATTGGCGATCTGCTCAGATTATTTCAGATTTTCTGCTAATCTGTGTTTCTGAAATACTGCTGTGGCAGTGTGGCTGTCATCTCTGGATCATCATATGAACAGGCGTCACCAGGTGTGGGATCTTGCAGGTGGCTGAGGGCTCCCGGGTTCTGATGGACCGTGTCCTGGGCCAGCTTTGCTGGTGCTGGCCCTTCACACTGCCTAAGCCCGTCTGCCTGGCCTCGGGGCCCTCTGCCTTAGCAAACGTCTATACCTCAACCTCCCCAGGAGTCTTGGACTTTTCTGTAAAAACAAAGTGAAAGGTCTGTTTCTGGGGACCCCCCCCAAACCATGCAGAGGCAGACCTATTCCCTTCAAGAAGCAAAGGCAGGCAGGAACCAAGAGGCCATGCAACCCAGGCCAGCCTCGGACTCACCGGCAGGGTGTTTGGATAAAATGCTAAACAGTAAGGGTGTCGGAAAGGGTTCTGCAAATGACGTAGCACTTATTTCTTGATGTTTTTCTAGCACATTTCCAAAAACTCTCAATATGGAAAATTAATTCATGTTAAAGACTAGGTAGAGAACACGCCATTAAACAGTTCAACAGTGCGCGGTGATGGAATTCACAAACGGTGCATTCAGGTCAGTGCAATCCCTCCTTATCTAATCCTTCCTCTCAGATCAGTGGGGCCTTGACCACCCTTTCTAATTTGTGTTGGTGGAATTAGGTTTCCTTGAGAGCAAAAAAAGTACTTAATTTGTCACCAAAGTTTGATTCCTTTTTTCCTCCCCCAGCTCTGAACATAAATCCCATCAATTAGGTTAATAATGGAAGCAAATTTCATCGTGACATGAAGTCTCCCCCAACATTTGGGGCTGGACAGCAGCCTCTTTGCCTAATTACATTAATAAAAATTTTTAGTAACATAGTTTTGGGGATCAATGCTCCCGCTCCTGCCAATCAGAGACTTTTCTCCTTGCTGAAAAGGTGCTAGACTTTTTAGTTTCTTTGTGATGGACTACGGAAAGGCTGAGGTGCCCCCCAGAAGATTAAATCTTTAATTTCACATTATTTCCAGCCATGTCTATAGAACAAAGTGGGCTTTACCTGTTGAATATGGGGCTTACGCGACTTGAAGGACCCTTGAGACATTAAGAGACGCCGTGAACGGTCTCTGAGATTTAAGCTGTGGGGAATTCTAAAGGGATTACTGCTGCATTTTCCATAAAACGAGAAATAAAAACAGACTTAAGCACTGCATGATCATAAATGCATTCCTGCCGTGATGGAGAGTCCCGTTCGGACTGCCACTCAGAGGCCCAGGCGGGGAGGGGCTGTCAAAGGCACCCACACTTGTAAGGATTTGGACAAGTCGCGCTCATAATGAAGTTAGGGCTGAATGCTTTGCAAAGATTGGCTGATACTCTTCCGTTTTCTCGGGTCCAAAGGTGAGGCACGCATACATTATGTTGCCATCATTAAGATATCTTTTGTACAGAATGCTAACCTGCCTTGACCAGAACTGGAGAACTCTCTCTCTGAATAAAGGAAGAACAAAACTCTTTCTGGGAAGATTTTCATGACTGATTAGCTATGTGGGATGGAAAAAAAAAAAAAAGTGGTGTCTCCCAAAGACCCAAAGAAAATGAGAACCCCAATTAAAATCCCGCCATCCTCACTAATCAGCTTAAAGACTCAACTAAAACAAAAGTTCTATTAAAAATGTAGCAGCTTTCTAGAGCGTGCATTGATTACCCAGCCACACACGTTCTGTATAAACTCTGCCTCTCTTTATGCTGGGGCACATCCGGCTTTGTAAGTGGACGACTGAAAGAGTGAAAGAAAATTAGAATAAATTGCAGACAAAATATGATGGACCTGGAATAACGTTGATGTGAAAACTGAACTTTTATTTTTAAGTATAAGCAAGATAACAGTTATCCATTAATAGATTTAGGGGAGTTTATGGAATATCGAGAAAGAGAAAACTCCCTTCAGGGACATTTGCCTTATTGAATTAATGAATTCCATTAACTCACCCTTGCTAGCCACACATTTTTAATAGAAAATTAAAGGTTTATAAAATGTGGCTTCTTACCCTACTGTAGAAAAGTTTTCATAGCATAGTAGGTATAATATTTCATGCCTGGATTCTTCTACCCCTTTGCTCTTGTTCAGTCGCTAAGTTGTGTCCAACTCTTTGCGACCCCATGGATTGCAGCACGCCAGGCTTCCCTGTCCTTCACCATCTCCCAGAGTTTGCTCAGATTTGAGTCCATCGCATCTGTGATGCCATCCAATCATCTCATTCTCTCCTCCTGCCTTCAATCATTCCCAGCATCAGGGTCTATTCCAATGAATCGAACCCTTAGATTCTGCAAATCTAAGTGCAATTTAAATACAGACCAAATATAACAACATACACAGAAAATTTAAGAGCTGGATCATTTTCTGAGCCGAACCATCTAGAATTTCACAATACTAGGACTGACTTGCTGAAGACGACAGATCTGGGTAGTGGAAGGCCTCACACAGGATCCCAGTGTCCCGCTGCCCTGTGTGACCTCAGCCCCTGAGCCAGGGCTCCAATCCCATTTCTACATTGAACCTGTAACTGCACACCTTCCTTCCCAAAGCGAGTGAGAGGGAGCGGGAGGAAGTCAGGCTTGCCTGGCCTGGTGGGAGGTGCGGTGTCTTCCCACCTCTGCCGGGGCTCAGCTTTACCTGGAAAGATCCCTTTTCTGGAATAACCTTTACCGACACCTGCCTGGGGAAGGGTAAACACTGTTGGCATGTCCAGTCCAAATCTCCCCTGTGGCCTGACACCTCCGGTCTGGGGCCATCGGGGTCCCCTGTGCCACACAGCCTGGGCCAAGGGAGCTGGACTCGGGGACCTGCAGAGGGACCGGCAGGGCTTTGGGGATCAAGGACACCATCGTGTATGAGCCCGTGGCCTGGACACTTCCCCTGGATTCCAGTCCCAGGCACCCTCTGCTAGAAGACCACTTAGCCTGGTCTTTCCCAGTTGCGGGATCCCTGGAGGGAGTGATGGATCCTCCATCCTGACCTCCAAGATCCTTGTCACGCTCTATGCTACCCTCCAGGGGTGGGTATGGCCCCAGGGGTCATCCCCGCCCCGGCTTTCTACATCTCCGTGGCTGTTTGCCCAACTTCTGCTCAGCATCCCTGGGAATGTGCCCCCCACTTCCAACCTCCATTGTGAGGCTTCTGGCTCAGTTATTGCAAAGCTCTCATCCCACCCTCCTTTGTGTCTCCCTTCCGGTGGCCCTGGATCCTGCTGCCCCAGCCTTGGAAGCAGCTCAGAACATTTCTGATGAAGTCCGATGAAGATCACGCTTATCCCGGTTACCTGCTTTTCTCCAGAACAAAGAGAGCTTGTTAGTCTTTGGAACACACATGTTGATGACAGAGATCACGGTCTCTCACCATCTGGTCACCCCTGGGGCAGGTGCAATTCATCAAGAGCCTTTTAGAACATATCACCCCACCTTGATGGGACCGGGCAGAGGTTCCTGATGAGCCGAGAGTCAAGCCAGGCTGCTTCTCCCCACGTCCTTACTGAAGCCCCCGTCTTCTTCAACAGCCCCCAGGCCAGGCAGCTTGTGGACAGCTGACTTTCTTAACTCGATTTTGTGCTGGGTGCTTCCTGTCCACTCATAATCCTCAGAGCTCACCCTCAGATTTGGAAAATGTTCATTCTGAACCTTGTGGCTCATAAAGAGATATTGCATGTTTTTTTCCCATCCCATTGTTTGAAGCCCATGATGTTTGCCTCGCGTTTATCCTGGTGGATTTTCACTACTGCACCGCGCTCACTCACCTAGAAGCAAAGGTGCGTATAACAGAGACATGGCCTGATGTGAAAGCACGCCGCTGGCAGAGTGTGCGCTGCAGGTCATCGTGCACACTTTTAATAACGCTTTGCTTTTACTTCCATTTCTAGGTTGGTTCTTAAGGAAGCTGAGGTTTTAATGCTGTTTCCAATGTTCATGCCTTGGAAAATGTCACTGCGCCAGCCCATACAGCCGACCGGGTTTTGCATTCCCGTTCCTGTCTCACTGCTCACATTCTGTATAAGGTCCCCAGAGGTCTTAATGACAGTTTCATGGGCCCGGGTATTTCCTACATCAGTAAATGTGGCCTGAAGGTGTCCTTTGTTACTGTCTCCTGCCATCAACACTTTTTCTTTTTTTTTAATCATTTTTTATTTTTGGCTGCACTGAATCTTGGATGCTGCATGCGGGTTCTTCCCTAAGTGCGGCAAGCCGGGCTCGCCTCTGCCTGAGGCCCACGGGCTTCTCACTGCAGTGGCTCCCCTGTTGCAGAGCACAGGCTCTAGGCACGTGGCTTCAGTCGCTGCAGCTCACGGGCTCCCTAGTTGCAGCTCGCAGGTTCTAGAGCACAGGCTCAGTAGTGCCATCAGCATGTTTTGATGGAGAATTCCTCTTTGCTTTGTCCACAGTTGGGGAGGGAGACTCTATTTCTCCCCGAGAGCAGAAGGCAGTCTCATCAGGATGTGAGACGTGAAGCAGGAAAACAGCCCCAGTGCCGCAGGACAGTTCAGGCTCCGAGCCGTGTCTGTGGGCCGGGCCATCCTCCGGGAAGAATTACTGCGGAAGGGGTTGGGGGGGTGCGGGGACCACGTGGGCCTAGGAGAGATGACCATGACCTGCGCATCAGGGGAGCTGGGGCGGGGACCCACATGAACAGAAGCCGGGGGCCGGTTTACAGGCATCCTTGGAGGCCCTGCCTTGGGTCCGGGGCACTGAGCGTGGGTTGAGGTTCCGTTCTGTCGCAGGGTCAGGGTGGCCATGGAGACGAGATGCAGGATGCGCCTGGAGAAAATAGCTGAGAGATGCTGGGATGTGCTGACTGTTCTTACCCGTAGGTCATTGTTCCAAAGACCATGGGACCCACAGAAGGGGCTGTGGTTGCAGGGGGAGGTACGAAAGGAAAGTTGAGCTTTGTCAGGGAAGGTGCCAGAAACCATCTACTGTTTAGCTGAGGCATGGTCTGTGAGCCGTGAGGACTCACGTTCATGCCCTCCGAGCCAGGACCCCTCTGCGTTCCCCTGGTCAGTCGGCGCTCAGCCGATCCTGGCTGAGAGTCACCGCTGGGTAGGATTCTTCAAAGAGAAAAGGAAATTGAGGGCACAGTCAAGCTGCTCTGCTCACTGGAACATTAAGATCTTCAAAGACTCCATGCATGCTTGCGTGATAAGTCGCTTCGGTCGTGTCCGACTCTTGGCGATCGTATGGACTGGAGCTGGTCAGGCTCCTCTGTCTATGGGATTCTCCAGGGAAAAAAGTATTTCACGCCTTTGTGTGGCTCCCAGGCTGACCACCTTTCACAAGGACAAGCTGGGGCAAATCAAGGCTTGAGCACACAGTCCCTAGACAGCCCCCGGGATGAAATACACTGACCCTTCAATGCAGAATAAACAAGTTCTCCATGCATCTCCAGGAGATTTTATTTTATTATTCAGATGAACTTACCAGGAAACTCTACTGGCTGCTGTCCTGCTCACTGTGTATGGGACCCTGGCCCACTGGGGAGCCCTGGCCCCCCGCACTCTGGCCTGTGTGTGTGTCCTGTCCTCTTCCAGCTGCCCTGGACCGGCCGCATGTTCATATCCTGACCCCCGTGCGTGCAGCTCTCCTCCATCTGAACCGAGTGAGCACCTGTGGAGTGGTGGATGGACATGTTGATTGACCTGAGATTGCATTTGCATAATTGTCTTCGAATTTGGGACAAAGGAAGACTCTGACTTCTAAACTATAAAGCGCTGATCCTTACTTCTCCGTCTCTCTCTTTGGCTCTTTAAAGCAGTTCTTTTTAAAAGCTTGTATTTTATTGAAGTGTAATAGATTCATAACGTCATGTTAATCTCTGCAGTGCGGCAAAGCGATTCAGTTATATTTTTCCATATTCTTCTCCGTTATGGTTCATCCCAGGATACTGAATACAGTTCCCTTGCTGTACGGTAGGATCGTCTTGTTTATCCATCCTATGCGTACTAGTTTGCACCTGCTAATCCCAAACTCCCAGTCCTCCCCTCCCCACCCACCCCTGCCAGCCACATGTCTGTCCTCTGGGTCTTGAATTGATTGACTATTTAGATCTATTTTAGCTTCTAAAATCCAGTGTGTTTGTTTTCTCCCAAAGAAGGGGATATATTGTGACTTCCTCCATGGGTTCAGGGTCATGAGATTGTTCCTCTCCCTTGAATGGAGAAGAAATGATACAACACTTATTGATGACCTATTAGAAAGTCACAGTCTCCCTGCCCCATGGCACAGTTGCCAGCTAGATAGACCCGTCTGGGTAATATTTATTTCATTGTGCAGCAAATGATGTCAGGCAATTATATTTTTTATAGATTAAAGGCATTTTTGTCATTTTTAATGTCTTACTACTGGTACTTTATAAAAAGTATTTGAGATTATGTTGACATACGTTTTACAAGAACAGCTTCAGTGGTATTTAATGGATAACTTATTACTAAGAAAGAATTCTTCAGGCTTGTTTTACCTTTTAATTGGTGGTGCTATCTCTGAGCAGTTTTTGCTGCATGCAAAGCAGTGTGAGAAATGATCAGGAGGATGATAAATAATAATAGTAAATATTTTGCTAATTGACCAGGAAGACTTAAGAACCATTACAATAATGAGAAAGGTCTCATTTGTCAAGAAGGGAGAAGAGCTTGGTCTTCAGAAGTATTCATTAAAACATAACTAAAGGAAGACCAAACTGTGATATTTGTTTACATGAAGGCTTAAGAAATGTATTTATGTATTTTGGATAAGATGCAGTAAGTTCACATCAGATCAGACATGTAATAAGAAATGTTACTACCATATGGATAAGACATCTTGAATTTGAGGAAGAAAAATGATGCCTCAAATTCAGTTTACCTTCAAATGCCATGAAGAGCAAGCAGAGTGTCTTTCTAGTGTCTGGTGGAATTGCAGGGGGAAGTCAGGAGGAGCCGGCTTCCTGGTCTTTCCTCAAGTTCACATGAATCCCCACGCCTTCCTCGTTAGACGCCCTGGATTCTGGTCCGTAGACAGAGGCAAGTCCCCATAAAGGAGAACAGCCACTCACCGTGATCCATCTGGGAGGTTCTCCCCTCCTCACCCTTTCTGCTGGGAAGAGAGGCAGAGCCCCTCCACCTGCTATCTACCTCTACCTGCCCATTACCGTGACGCCGAGACTCCTTCCATTTATGACTTCTGGACAAACAGGATCTTCATTTAAAATTGAATTTCAGAAATTAACAAGGAATACCTTTTTAGCATAAGTATATCCCATATGTTCAAGCTTCAATTTAGCTGGAACACCTTTATTTTTAGTTGCAAAGTCTAGTAACCCTGCTGCTATGTCTGTCTGTCGCTGAGCAGCCAATGGGGCTCCCAGTTGTTTTCATCACCGATTATCACCATACACAAGTCCTTGCCCCAAACATCTGTGTGCTGGGAGCTGCCAGGATCACACAGAAAGGAGACGACCCTGCCCCGGCCCTATGGAGCCCAGGAAAGGACACTTACCGCATACTCACTGCAAGCGGGGCCTGTGCACTTTGTGTACAGTTCTCAACGCAGTTCTTCCTAATTCACAGAAGTTGGTATTTTTACTCCTGTTTAGGACGCATAGGGAATATGTAGTAGGACTGACCTCTGACCCATGCTCCATCAGGGGCGACATGTTACCTATGAGACTGTGCCCACCCACCTGTTGTGTGTTCTACGTTCAGTTCAGTTCAGTCGCTCAGTCGCATCCAACTTTTTGTGACCCCATGAACCGCAGCACGCCAGGCCCCCATGTCCATCACCAACTCCCGGAGTCCACCCAAACCCCTGTTCATTGAGTCGGTGATGCCATCCAACCATCTTATCCTCTGTCGTCCCCTTCTTCTCCCACCTTCAATCTTTCCCAGCATCAGGATCTTCTCAAATGAGTCAGTTCTTCACATGAGGTGGCCAAAGTATTGGAGTTTCAGCTTCAGCATCAGTCCTTCCAATGAACACCCAGGACTGATCTCCTTCAGGATGGACTGGTTGGATCTCCTGGCAGTCCAAGGGACTCTCAAGAGTCTTCTCCAACACCACAGTTCAAAACCATCAGTTCTTCGGTGCTCAGCTTTCTTTAAAGTCCAACTCTCACATCCATACATGACCACTGGAAAAACCATAGCCTTGACCAGATGGACCTTTTTTGACAGAGTAATGCCTCTGCTTTTTAATATGCTGTCTAGGTTGGTCATAACTTTCTTACAAGGAGGAGACCTCTTTTCCCCAGAGTCCAGAGGTGAGCTCCACCCAGATGTTTAGAGTCCTGGTCTAGCAAACGGCTAAGCTGGCCAACAGGCCACAGCCCTGGGGTAAAACACGGTGGTGAAAGCAAGATACAGGAGCTCGTACCCTAACAGGAAGGACCCTGGGAAGGTCAGCTGAGGACCGCTGATCTGGGTCATCAGAAAGTCCAAGAACGCTGGTATCAGAGCGCAGTATCCTGATGATGTCTGTGGTTGCTGAGTGAAGGGGGTCCACTCAAGAAAAGGAGAGGAAATGTAAGGAAGGGAAACCACACGCATCATGCACAGATTCCCCTGGTCTCTCCCTCAATGGAGATGCAGGAGCTTCCAGGGTCCCAAATAGAAGAAGCTTTTTACAAGTCAGTGACTCGAGGGGGGCTCTGTTATCAGAAGTCCAAGGCTATGAGGACAACACAGAATTGGGTGGAGAGAGATCCATGCAAGATGGAAGTCCAGGATGGCTTCTTGGAGGAGGAGGGACTGTCCCTGGGCTTTTGCTTCTGGAACCACTAAAGGGACATACTTTTGAGATAAACTAAGGGGACAAAATATGCTCCTAAAAAATAGTTGTTTAGTTGAGGATTTATGCCTTTTTATTTATTCATTCATTCATCATATTAAACTGCCCACTGGTGCTGAGTCCTGGAGAGTGGCATGGGACACTGCTGGCTGGAATGTTCTCAGCACTGCCTCCATGAACTTCAGAGTCTACCTAGGGGTCTTTTTCTGTGGTGGATATGGTAGCATTTTAGGCTCCATGAGCATACGGTCTCTGTCACAGCTGACCAGCTTTGCCAGTCAGGCCAAGCAGCCAGCCACCAGCCACAAGGAAACAAGCAGAGCTGTGTTACAACTAGACTTTATTTATGGACCCTGATCGTTAAATTCATATAACTCTCTTGTGTCACAAACTATTTATCTTCATTTGACTTTTTCAGTCATATAAAAATATAAAAATCATTCTTAGTATAGGAATCACCAAGAATTGTAAGTGAAAGGATTGACAGATGTAACTTTAACATCCTCAAGAGAACTGCAAGCTCCCTCAGGTAGGGTCCAGGTGAAAGCACCTCCAGCCCCTGCAACACCCTCTGCACGGCACAGGTGTGGGCACTGCAGATGTGGGCAGAGCAGGTGTGGACAGAGCAGATATAGGCAGCGCAGGTGTGGACAGAGCAGGTGTGGGCAGAGCAGGTGTGGGCAGCGCAGGTGTGGGCACTGCAGATGTGGGCAGAGCAGGTGTGGACAGAGCAGGTGTGGGCAGCACAGGTGTGGGCAGCGCAGGTGTGGACAGCACAGGTGTGGATAGCACAGGCGTGGACAGAGCAGGTGTGGGCAGCGCAGGTGTAGGCACTGCAGATGTGGGCAGAGCAGGTGTGGACAGAGCAGGTATAGGCAGCACAGGTGTGGACAGAGCAGGTGTGGGCAGCACAGGTGTGGGCAGCGCAGGTGTGGGCAGCACAGGTGTGGGAAGCGCAGGTGTGGGCAGTGCAGATGTGGGCAGCACAGGTGTGGGCAGCGCAGGTGTGGACAATGCAGGTGTGGATAACACAGGTGTGGGCAGCGCAGGTATGGGCAGTGCAGGTGTGGGCAGCACAGGTGTACAGTTGGACTGGATACCATGGAACTGAGCAGGGCTGTCCCCAGACTCTGGCCTTGGGAAGGGCTGTGACCTGCATCAGATAGAGACAGAAGGGAGGTCACCCCACTGCCCTTCCGTCTTCTGTCCAAGGACCACTCCTCCCTAAAGATGCAGAACAAGGTCACTCTGGTCATCTGAGTGCCGTCTCTGAAGCCAGCTCCACCCTCCCAGACCCCAGTAGGATAAACAAACGCCACCACAGGCCCAGAGCCCAGCGGTGATTGCCTTTCAGCCTCAGGCTGGAACTCTGGGATTCTTCGGGGGAGAAACATCTCTGCCCTCATCTCTGCAGAGGCAGTCGAATGCCACGATTTGGCATGAGACGCCTGGATGAGGAGAGCTGCGGTCTCCTTGGCGTGCCTGGCGTCCTTCCCGGGCCAAGGTGAGGGACACAGCAGTCCCCACAGACTCTGGATCCAGCTGCTTTTCTGATCACTGACTTTTGCTTCGATCTGATCATGAGATAAGGCTGGGATTAACATGACTTGGGCTGTTTTGATAGCTGTAAAACAACCCCAAACAACAACACAGCATTTGGCTTTGAAATGTGCTTCTATACATCTGGCTGCTGCTGCTTACCTGTAGCAACCACCTATTAACATGGAAAAGCCAGCAGCGGCGATGCTATCAGAAGCCGGCTGAGCAGACCAGCTGGCCCCGCCGCTCTGCCCTTGGCTGAGGAGACAGAGAGATGCAGGCCCAGGAGGACTCCATCTCCGGACGCTGGCACGGCCCCCGCCGTCTGGGACCCACAGACATGCCTCGGGGGGGGGCGGCTGTCACAGCTCTGCCTGCATTTATTCTCCGCTTGGGGCAGGCGTCCCAGGGGCAGAGTGGAGGTCACCTGTGTGTGTCTGTTGAGCAAGTGCACGCGTGTGTGCGTTGAGCAGGGGCAGAAGGAAAGCCCCCTCCCTGGGATGTGAGCCTGTCTGGCTCTCTGTCGGCCCTCCCCCACGTTTCCTGTGATTTTGGGCACCTCTGATGGACAGAGATCCCTCTGAAAATGCAGGGGGCCCCCAGTGCGCGGTGATGCTCATCTGGACGCAGTTCACACATTTGCCAGGGGAGCTGAAAGCGGAGATGGGAGAGTGAGCGATGGGGGCTCCCAGCCTGGCTGTGGGGGATCCTGGGAGGGCATGGGGACACTCACAGATGTAGGCTTGCAGGCTGTCGGGGGCAAGGAGGTCCAGCAACTATGCGAGCTCGGGTCTCTCTGCAACCCAGGAGGTGAGGCTTCTGCGCTCACTAAGTGAGAAGCCTGGCTCACTCTATGAAGCTCCGTTCTTCCCCTAAGAAGAGGCCAGCGGCTCTGAGACCTAGTCACAAACTCCCCGAGGGATTCCGGTGTGGTTTGGGTGACCTGGAGGAACGGAGGGCCCAGCCTTGCCCCAGTGGCCCCGACCTGAGTGTGGGCGTGAACCGGAGCAGCACCGGCCGGGCTGTGTCTAACCCGAGTATAGGCAGAGCTGGGGGTTCCGTGATGACCACCACAGACAGGGGTGCAATGTTCTCCCTACACATGCCCTGCCCCAGCTCTGAGTCCCCATTCTGAGCCTAGAAGACGCTCCTGGGCATCAAGGCAAGCATCACGTATATAAATGATGCGTCAGGGGCTCCTGGGATCAGCTTTTGGCCCCTCCTCGCCTTTTTCACAGGTTCTGGCATCGCCCACACTTGGGCCCATGCTACTCCACCCTTGTTCTCGGCTCCTTCCCAGACCCAGCCCTTTCTTTAGGCTCATCCAGGACTTCACCACCTCCCTGGGTGGCAGGGGTCGGTGGCTCCACACTCCCCCACCAGACCATCAGCACCCCCTTCACCCTCTCCCAGAGCGTGAGCAGCACAAGTACCCACAAGGCAGGAGACATCCCAGGGAGGATCTGATGGGTGCCACCCAGCCGCAACCCTGGCCGTGAGTGGGACAGACTGTCTCTGGGGAGAAGGAAGGGCTTTGAGAAGAAACAGCATAATTTACAAAGAATTCTCCGTGGGCATGCATTGAAAGACATTAGTCACTCGTGTCCAGCACTGTTGAAGGCAGAGAGGGAAATCCAAGAAGAACTGACAGTGCAGCTTCTGTAGTAGAATTCATGTCTTTGGCAAGAACAGTTATGAAACAGTACATTTCAGAATGTGATTTCTGGCCTGTATGTGTGAGTGCAAAGCCAAGCCTTTCCCTCTGCCTTGATCTCTGTGGCCAACCTTATCAATCGATAAAGCAAATAAGGTGACCCTTTCTCCATCCTCTTGGCCTTGAACTTGCTCTCAGCAACTCCTTCAGCCCTGATGAATGCCCCACCCTGCTCCGCCATCTGTCTCCATGCCGGTGGGCTGGGGAGGGGGGCAAGCTTCATGTATTGTGACCCCCAGATTAGGTCTTGTCTGCCACACACAGTATTCTCAAAAATAATCATGTAATAACCTGCAAAGTTAATTTTCTTGATATGTTCTTTAGGGTTAAAGTAAGCAATACTTTTTAAAAGAATAAATTTCAATTCTAAGGGTACTATTTAAATTTAGTGATTTTATGTACATAAGAAAATTTGTACTTGCCCAATAAAAAATATTATACCTCAGCTGTTTGCAATCTGTTTCACTGTTCTACATTTTGCTGCTGTTGTTTAGTTAGTCAGGTTTAACTCTTTGTGACTGTGGACTATAGCCCACCAGGTTCCTCTATCCATGGAATTTTCCAGGCAGGAATACTGGAGTGGATTGCCATTCCCTTTTCCAGAGTGTCTTCCTGACCCAGGGGTTGAATCTATGTCTCCTGCATTGGCAGGTGGATTCTTTACCACTGTACCGCCCGGGAAGCCCATTTTACATTTTAAATACACATTAAAGCGCCAAGTGACACCTAGAAACACAGAAGCTCACATTCTGTGCCTCCTTCTTTGTGGGGGTTTAGTTCTGCTGTTTAAAGACGGTTTAGAGATGTGGACTTGGCCCAAAGTGAACTCAGACGACATTGAACTGTCAAGGTTGCCACTGCATGTAACTGGGATTCTCCAAATCCCCTTCCATGTCAGTAAAACGCTTTATAAAGAATACATAACAAAACCGTCATTGGGAGCTTCCATGGATAATACGGACCGTCACCAGTAACCACGGCAATTGTTTAGAATAAGAGATCTTTCCCACGTGTGGGTTTGGGGATCTTGGCACTGCTTGTAGTTGTAGGCAGGGTGGCTCGGAACAGCAGACAGCTCCCTAGTTGGCAGTAAACCCACACTGAGTTCCCGCCCCCCGCGGGGGCAGGGACTGCCACGTCCACTTGGGACAATACGCTCCCACGTACACTCCAGAAATCACACTGTGAACTGTACTGTTTCATAACTGTTCTTGCCAAGGATCGAAATTCCACTACAGATGCTGCGCTGTCAGGCCCCAGCTCACCATCTCCTTCCTTTCTGCAGCTCAGGCACCGGGATAACCGCAATGGCCCATAGCCCGTGGTGTCACCTCAGGGTTGGGAGCTGCCAGCAGGACAGTGCCTGCGCCCGTCGCCCCTGGGCATGCGGCATCCCCCTCGGGTCTGCGAGTGCCAGGCTCGCTCTGTCCTCCACCTGGAGGGCTGTCCTCCTTGCGCCCACCTTGTCGCATCTGAAGGCACCACCTCTCTGTGTCCTGCTGCCAGGGAGGTCCCCTCTCTGGCCTTTTGACCATAGCTTCGTAAGTGACCAAACAGCTCACGTATTATCTCTAGTCTCCTTCCATCAGAGGGCAGAAAGCATAAACCTGCATATTCATTTCAGACAGCTCTCATAGCCTCATACACACAGTTACAGACACAAAATAGATGTCTACAGGAATTCAAATTGATACAAACATTTTGAATCAAAGAACTTTGACGAGAGTAACATTTAAGGGGTTGTTTATCAGTTGCTCAGTCATGTCCGATTCTTTGCGACTCCATGGACTGTAGCACACTAGGCTTCCTGTCCTTTGCCATCTGCCAGAGTTTGCTCAAACTCATGTCCATTGAGTCAAATGAATGATGCCATCCAACCATCTCATCCTCTGTCATCCCTTTCTCCTCTTGCCTTCAATCTTTCTCAGCATCAGGGTCTTTTCCAATGAGTCAGCTCTTCACATCATGTGGCCCAAGTATTGGAGTTTCAGCTTCAGCATTAGTCCTTCCAATGAGCATTTAGGACTGATCTCCTTTAGGATTGGCTGGTTTGATCTCCTTGCAGTCCAAGGGACTCTCAAGAATCTTCTCCAGCACCACAGTTCAAAAGCATCAGTCTTTTGGCACTCAGCCTTCTTTTATGGTCCAACTGTTATATCCATCCATGACTCCTGGAAAAACCATAGCTTTGACTATAAGGACTTTTGTAGGCAAAGTGATGTCTCTGCTTTTTAGCATGCTGTTTAGGCTTGTCATAGAGCTATCATCTTTTCATTTGATTGTTGCCTCTGCTGGAGTGGGGGGACGGGTATATCACAAAGCATGTAACCTCTCGGTATCTCAGTCTCCCCCTTCCTTATGGTGACGTCATTGTGTCTATTTCCCAGAACTTAATTAATATTTGCAAGGTACTTTGATATCCTGAGATGAAAGGAGATACAGCAAGCAAAACACAGTCAGCACTTGCAAATCCATCATTATGGCTGTTGCTGCTGTTCGTGGAGATGAGCAGCACGCTGATAGTAACAGGCAGAGGATGGCTGCGGGGTCCTTCCATTTGATCCGGCACCTCTGACCCAGGGCTATGGGGCTGGGGGCGGCAGCCACCTTCCTGGTTTCCTGTCATTTATCACAGACTTGCCTAGAGGCCGTCCTGGAGGTAGGGCTGTGTCTCTCTGGCACAGCACCAGGAGATAAGGATGGACAAACTCTTGCTTTGAACATTTTCCTCCTCAGCTAGAAATCTTCTGTGGTTCCCACAGGGTGTCCCAGAGAAGCCCAGAGTGGGCAGAGCCTGGACCTGGGGTCAGCGAGGTTGGAACTCAACCCCACAGCTCTGGCCCTCACCATGGGGTCATCTTGTCACACAGCGCAGCGCTGCTCAGCTCAGAAAACTGGGGCAACAGCAACCCCCATGTGAGGCGGGCTGGGTCTGGCCATGCCAAGTGCAAAGCGTGAAAGTGAGGGTCCCTCAGTCGTGTCCCACTCTTTGCGATCCCGCGGACTATACAGTCCATGGCATTCTCCAGGCCAGAATACCTGAGTGGGTACCTGTTCCCTTCTGCAGGGGACCTTCCCAACCCAGGGATAGAACCCAGGTCTCCCGCATCGCATACTCTGTATTATAATCTCGTGTGAAGACACACAGGCACAGACCAGAGCTCGCCGATTGAGCGTGTGAACGCCATGTCCCCGGCTCGGCCACCTGTGGGTGAGGCGCTGAGAGGAGCGGCCCTGGCGTCTGTGCCTCAGCTGTGCCCCCTGTAAAATCGGCATGTTAACGCTGCCCGCCTCACACAACGCACTAATGCCTGAGAAATGCTGCACCCCTTACCTGCTCACCAATCGTTTTTCTTATCACCATTGTCCTCACCACATAGGGGCTTCCCTTGTGGCTCAGCTGGTAAAGAATCCGCGTGCAATGCAGGAGACCTGGGTTCGATCCCTGGGTTGGGAAGATCCCCTGGAGAAGGGAAAGACTACCCACTCCAGTACCCAGTATTCTGGCCTGGAGAATTCCATGGACTGTACAGTCCAGGGGGTCGGAAAGAGTTGGACACGACTGAGCGACTTTCACGTTCACCATATAGGGCTCCCGTGAGGTCTGACACCTGTCCCGCTCCCCTGCACCCTGGAGGTGGCGATGGTTGCCCGGGTGATGAGGAGATGAGATGAACCATGGTCTGGAAACACGTGGCCCCACCCCCGCATCCAGGGCGTTGGTCGCTCCGCTCAGGGACGAGGTCACTTCATTGAGCACCCTGTCTCCCCTCCCCCTCCGCCGAGACAGGGCAGAGGAAGAAAGGAGTAGAGTTTACGCATAAAATCCAGGAGCCAGAACTGCACGGAAGCCTGTGGTATGCGGGTACTAAGCAATCTGCAGTGGGGAACCCTCCAGCTTGCTATTCCGGGGATAACCCCGCCCAGTGTCTCACCCCCTTGTCTCCATCTCTGTGATGCTATCCGAGAGGGGCGCAAAGCCTCGGGCAGCCGCACGCCCTGGTGAAGAGATTGTTTCAATAGATTCTCAGCAGCTCTGCTTCCATGGGTAAAATTCTGTCCGAGGTGTGGAGGGGTTGAATGGAGTTATCCTTCATAGTTGTTGTTTTTTTTAAACCCAAAGGACAGTTTCATCTACTGGCAGCTCTCTCTTGCCTGCTACTTGTCTGTGAGCTGAGAACGGGTAGGCCTGGCACCCCGGCCGGATCCCCAGATGCCAGGCTGAGACCGGAGTGGCAAGGATAGCAACCCCCAGTCCACAGCCCCCCTGACTCAGCTGAGGAGACTAAGGCCAAAGGCGTGGAATGATGGGTTTCAGGTCCCATGGTGAGCTGGGACCACACTTCCCCCTGTTCGAACCCTGGGCACCCGGCTCTGAAGGGCAGCATCTACCCTGCCAAGGGGAGCAGAGCTACCAGACCCAGAAGTGCCCTCTCTGCTGGTGAAGCCCTGCGGACGGCCGACTTACGGAGCCCTCGCGGGCCCTGCGTTTGCTGGTGAAGCCCTGCGGACAGCCAACTTACGAGCCCTCGAGGACCCTGCATTTGCGAGCTTCCAGTTTCCTATCTTTCAGGGAGCACACATCTGAGAAGAAATATGCATTTCAGAGAGAAAGCTAATGCAAGGCTTCTAAAAAGTGTTTTGCTTAAAAGAGTAATTATACAGCTTGGGAGCCTTTGAACTCGCGCGGGCCTTTCATCAGTTTATGTGCAGGAACACAGGAGCCGAGCACACCCTCTGGGCAGATATTATCACCTCCTTCCACAGCTGGGCAAAGGGCTCCAGGAAGAGGAAGTGCCTTGGCAGATGTGATGGGGTGGGGGGGTGGCAAGGAGCTGGGCAGGGCCAGGGTGGTGCTGGCTCTGCCAAGAGCACCTCCTGGACGGACTGTCCTCCCGACCACGGCCACCTCTGCACCCTGGTCCCCGGACACCTGCGGGGGAGGGGCATCCCTGCTGAGGAGGGCCTTGGGAGGATTCAGACTCGGGGCCAGTGCAACTCAGCACTTCCTGGCTATAGCCTTTGGCACAAGACCTACCTGGCTAAGCTTTGCTTCCCATCTGTGAAAAGGAGTCAGGAGTAACTGCTTCCAGTGACCCTTGGGAGAACTGCTGAAATAACACATCAGGTCAGTGTCTGCACTCAGTGAGGATTAGTGCTGGGCTCAGTAAGTGATGCATAGGACCATTACTACCATCACCACCACCACCACCACCACCACAACCAACACCACCACCATCACCACCAGCACCATCACCACCACCAGCATCACCACCATCACCATCACCATCACCACCACCTTCACCACCACCACCACCAGCATCACCAGCATCACCTTCACCACCATCACCACCACCACCACCACCACCACCACCATCACCACCACCAGCATCACCACCACCATCACCACCACCAGCATCACCACCACCATCACCACCACCTTCACCATCACCACCACCACCACCATCACCACCACCAGCATCACCACCACCATCACCACCACCTTCACCATCACCACCACCACCATCACCACCACCTTCACCATCATCACCACCACCACCACCACCATCATCATCACCACCACCACCACCATCACCACCATCAGCATCACCACCAGCATCACCACCACCTTCACCATCACCACCACCACCACCACCACCACCACCAGCAGCATCACCACCACTATCACCACCACCACCATCACCACCACCACCATCACCACCACCTTCACCACCACCACCACCATCACCACCACCATCACCATCACCACCACCACCACCATCACCACCACCACCACCACCACCAGCATCACCACCACCTTCACCACCACCAGCATCACCACCACCTTCACCATCACCACCATCACCACCACCTTCACCATCACCACCACCACCACCATCACCACCACCTTCACCATCACCACCACCTTCACCATCACCACCACCACCACCATCACCACCACCTTCACCATCACCACCACCACCACCATCACCACCACCACCACTATCACCACCACCACCATCACCACCACCTTCACCATCACCACCACCACCACCACCACCACCAGCATCACCACCACCTTCACCATCACCGCCACCTTCACCATCACCACCACCAGCATCACCACCACCTTCACCATCACCGCCACCTTCACCACCAGCATCACCAGCACCTTCACCATCACCGCCACCTTCACCGTCACCACCACCAGCATCACCACCACCATCACCACCACCACCACCATCACCACCACCACCACCACCACCACCAGCATCACCACCACTATCACCACCACCATCACCACCACCTTCACCATCACCACCATCACCTTCACCACCACCACCACCATCACCGCCACCTTCACCACCACCACCACCATCACCACCACCTTCACCATCACCACCATCACCTTCACCACCACCACCACCATCACCGCCACCTTCACCACCATCACCACCATCACCACCACCTTCACCATCACCACCACCACCACCACCACCACCAGCATCACCACCACCTTCACCATCACCGCCACCTTCACCATCACCACCACCAGCAACACCACCACCTTCACCATCACTGCCACCTTCACCACCAGCATCACCAGCACCTTCACCATCACCGCCACCTTCACCATCACCACCATCACCACCACCACCACCACCACCACCACCACCATCACCACCATCACCACCACCAGCATAACTACCATCACCACCACCACCATCATCACCAGCATCACCACCATCACCATCATCACCACCATCACCATCATCACCACCATCACCACCACCATCACCAACATCACCACCACCATCATCACCACCACCACCACCATCCCTGTCATCACCGTCATCACCACCAGCATCACAGTAATTCACTGCCCTCTTTTACTTCTTGCTGGGAGCCCATGTACTTCCCCATCACTGTAGAGCTCTGCCTTGGAGTTTCCGGAGCGTCTCACGCAGTGTCTTTGCCTCATCTCCATCCTAGGGGTACCACCAGAAGGAGCACTAACGCACTTGATTAATCACTCTAAGATGAGGCACTAATGGATAACAAGGGCATGGGCGTGCATGCTAAGTCACTCAGTCCTGTCCGGTTCTTCATGACCCCATGGCCAGCACACCAGGTTCCTCTGTCCCTGGGATTCTCCAGGCAAGAACACTGCCGTGAGTCCCTAAAACCAGGGAGCCTCTGTAATCCCAGTAGAGGCCTTCCAGGGACAAGCAGGAGAAATGGGCCATACAGAGTTTGGGGTCATGTTATCCAGAGGGCAGTCCAAAGGGAACACTCACAGCCATCTCGTGAAATTCAGGACCCAGTTGGTTCAGTCACCAGAGAGGTAGCATTATTGTGTGTGTGTGTGTGTGTGCGTGTTTTAAAGAATGAGACTGAGATGGTGGGAAGGTCCAAATGACCTTGACCTTTGACCCCATTAGAACTATTTCCAGGTCAGACTTCATCTGGATGGGCCACGTGGAGGTCTTACGGGCAGACAGACACCAGTTCTGGAGAGAGAGGAAAACTCGGTCGGAAGCTGGAGGCCCGCATCTGTTTTCTCCAGCCTCATCGCTAACTCATTTTCTCCACCGTGTCACTGGCGGCTCTGATCATCAGTGCGCTCAGTTTTAGGCGAGAGGCTGGCCTGGCCCGTGATCCAAGGCTGCCTTCTTGGACGCTCATGCCCAGGGAGACAGTGCAGCCGGCGAGGACGGGTCCTTCTCTGTCTCACCCCCACCAGCTTCAAGTCCAGTGGTCCAGGAAGAGGACTCCAGGCTGCAGGCTGTGTGCAGTGCTTTTGGACTGCAGATCTTGTTAGCTGTGAACATCACGGTCGCAAAACGCTGCCAGTGAAGTGCTCCAGGGAAGCCTTTTCCTACTGGCCTCCTGTCTCAAGGAGGAGTTGGACAGGTGCCTAGCTCAGGGGCAGCCAGTGGGGAGGGGCGCCCATGAGGGGGCGGTCTGAGCGCCCTGTGACTGGCAGGCCAGGGGCAGCCAATGGGGAGGGGCGCCCATGAGGGGGCGGTCTGAGCGCCCTGTGACTGGCAGGCCAGGGGCAGCCAGTGGGGAGGGGCGCCCATGAGGGGGAGGTCTGAGCGCCCTGTGACTGGCAGGCCAGGGGCAGCCAGTGGGGAGGGGCGCCCATGAGGGGGAGGTCTGAGCGCCCTGTGACTGGCAGGCCAGGGGCAGCCAGTGGGGAGGGGCGCCCATGAGGGGGAGGTCTGAGCGCCCTGTGACTGGCAGGCCAGGGGCAGCCAGTGGGGAGGGGCGCCCATGAGGGGGAGGTCTGAGCGCCCTGTGACTGGCAGGCCAGGACGCCCCGCTTGTCTCCTCCACGGCCGCCCGCCACAGTCCTGGGCTCCGGCTTCATTAAGGAGAGTCGGGTCCTCAAAGAACCAGCCCCCCAGGTGCCGCGGATCTGGCCCCTGCCCCAGGGCAGCCCGCACCAAGAGGACAAATGCCTCCCACCACAGGCAGACCAAACGGCCTGCGGTGAAGCTCTGCCACCTGCCAGCCCCAGACCTGACGGCTTGCATGCTGGCTCCCTGCGATCCTCCCTGGGCACGTTACGGTCTGACCGTCTCCTGACCCCCCCAGGAGGAGGGGTGCACAGGGCAGACAGAGGGACGCGTGGACGGCAGGGCAGCTGAACCCCAGCAGGGCGAAGGCTGGCATCCCGGCTGGGGCAGGCGGCTCAGCCCGCCTGTGTCCATGTGGCCACACCTGCTCTGGGACACAAGCCTGAACAGTCCTGCTCTCGCCAGGCTGAGTCCAGTGGGGGAGGGGGGCAACACATGTTTTACACCATGAATGTGGGACATTTTAGTCGTATCCCACCTTCCTTGCCGTGTGACTCCGGCCAGTGGTCCTTTAACCTGGAGGACCTGCGTCCTTACCTGTGATGCGGCAGGATGCTGGCGCATAACTCATCAGACACTGCGAGGACCCAACGATGCCGGCACGTGAGCACAGGGCCTGGCAGGTCCCTGGTGGATGTCACTACTTGGGAGACTTGGTTGTTATTAGCAAACCTGCATCATCCTTTGCTGGGCAGTGAAAGCGAAAAGTGAAAGTTAGTCACACAGTCGTGTCTGACTCTCTGCGAGCCCATGGACTGTAACCTTCCCAGCTCCTCTGTTCATGGAATTCTCCAGGCAAGAGAGCACTGCAGTGGGTTGCCATTTCCGTAAATGCCATCTAGGAACATCCTTCCACTTCCAGACCATTTGCTTAAATTGCCCTTGTTCTTAAAGTTGAAAAGAAGTATCTTTCCCAGGAAGTTGCCCACCCAGGTCCCAGGATCCTCCCTGTTTTATGAAATCCCAGAGCACCTACCTCTTGTTTTCAGCCTTGGCATGACCACCTACAAACTGCCTTGTAGGGACATCTGCTCACTTGTCTATATTCGAGTTCAGCACTGCCCAGTAGGAAGGGAAAGACGTGCCATCAACAACCACAGGCATATGGCTGCGTATCTCCTAGTAGCCCAGTGCTCCTTTAATGAACATTGTTCAGATTTAAGCTCTTAAAATTTTTTTTTTTAATTTCATATTGGAGTATAGTTGTTAAAGTAAAAAAGGAAGAGGGCCGATTAATTTTAATACTATATAGTTTTAAACTAACCATCCAAAATATTGCATTTCTACATACACTCAACATAAAAATTCCTCACTGATACACTACATTCTTTTTCTTTCACTAAGTCTTCAGAGTCCACAAAGTACGTCTAGGCACGGACTGGCCACTTTCTGAGTGCCCAGCAGCTTGTGAGGCTGGAGGCGACACAACAGACCAGGCGACACTCAGCAGCCGTGTCCTCGGGCCGACTCTTGGCATAACCTCACGTGACAGGACCTGGAAGCGTTTTTTTTAGTGTGATGGATCACTGATTACTTTGTCACGCATTCTCATGACCCCATGGCAATCAGGGCTGCATTTGTACCACTTCAAGTATTATACTTTCCGGCACTGATTTTTCAGGGACGCTATTTAAAAATCAAGGACCCGTCAAATCTCTGTGCTTCTCTTGTCTGCCGTGGAGAGTCCTGCATTTGGGTTTCAAGCCACTGAAATGCTTCCTTCGTCACTGGCCTGTCCCCAGGCCCCCTGCCAGGGTTTCTGGAGCTCTCATGATACCAGCCTGCTGACCACAAGTGTCAACCGGAGCTAAGCGTGGGTGAGGCCCTGTGGGAAGTGGTCCTGGGTCCACGAGACACACTTTTCTCCCCAGGGACTTGCAAGGACACAGCGGGGACCCGCCAACTTCATGGACGTGTGCAACCTCTTAAGTAGCAAAGATTCAAACTGTTCTGCTTAAAACTTTGGAATGTTCTTACAGAGTTTAAGAGGCAAAGAAGAGGCACTGAGAGTGGAACGTAAAAACTCATCTGCAGAAGAGGCTGCATGTTAGCCTCAGTGTGTTTTACCTCCATGTTAGTTTATTTTAAGTCTTAAAAAAAAGACACCACAAACTGGATTTTCAAGTCTCCTGAGGGGGTTTCACAGGCAAAAAGTCCTGAATTGCCTCTGTAGAGTAGATGTCTGGTTGATTTATAAATTGTTGGTTACAGAGGCATTAAAACACATTTATAAATTAGTGTCAAAAATCAGTATCGCCTCAAGGAAGACTCTGATATTAAGTAGTCCACAGTGATGATGGCTCTCTTGTTTCCATTGATAACGTTTGCACCTCTTAGCCATCAATATTGTCAATGTGCTCCTTCCAGGAGCATCATTTAGCCTTAAGCTCTTTTTAAAAATTCTCTGTATATTTCGCCTTGGAGTATAGTTGATCTGCAATTTTGTGTCGGTCTCAGGGGTACGGCAAAGTGAATCAGTAATATGTGTTCGTACACCTATTCTTCAGAATCTTTTCCCATTTAGGTTATTACACAGTATAGACTTGAGATCTTTGATGATGTCTTTTCAAATCCACAGGTCCTTCTTAAACGACACTGGATCTTGCTGAGCTTGATTGCTCTGTCTGAAGGCGTAAGGCATTCTCTAATGAAAGAGTTATGATTTCAAAAATCCCCCCAATTATAAGTAGAGCCTTCCGCCTCTGCCTGGCCTTAGAAGGTGAGCCGGCTGCCTGCCTTGGTGAACAGCTTGCAGGGGGAGAGAGATGGAAGTATTGAAGACGACGTGGCAGCATAGCTGGTCGCTGGGAGCCTGGAAGAGACAAGCAGTGTTTGGGGCTACAGCAGGCAGACGTGGGGGCAGGGCCCCCCGCCACCCCATTTCAGAGCAGCCCTCCACGTCACCGGTCCCCCAGGGCAGGCTAGCCAGGCCCCCATCCCCTGACCCATGGCTTCTCCAGGACCAGTGTGCCTGGGGCCCTGGAGGGCCATGTCTCCCCTTTGTCTCCAGTATTTAAACTGGCTCTCCTTTCAGGCACCCCCAGGACTGTCGGCCCCCAAATGGATTTTCTTTGTCACATTTCAGGGGAAAAGAAAAGGGAATAGAAAGCCAGCAGTGAAAAGCCATCCGAGTTGGCCCCACAGCAGTTAGCTCATGTCTGTCCTGCACTGTCCCCATTGCTGGACACCCTGATTGCCCGTTTCCTGAAGCCTGACCAGCCTCTCACTGGAGGCCCCGCCCTGGGCTCCTCCAGCACCCCTCCACCATTCCTCCTGGCTGGCTCCTGGGCGGTCTTTCAAGTCCCTAAACATGTACAACCATCGCTCTGAACATCCATCCCCTCAAGAGGTCATTCTAGACCCCACTGTCTGTTTTGAGGGCCGGTGCTGGCTTCAGGTGGGAAGGTAGGCTTAAGATACCCACAGCTTCAACAGCATCAGATGGGCTTCAATCACAGGGCAAAGGCCCAAGCGTCCGAGGGTCTCCCTGTGAGATTCCAACTTCTCTGATTAGTAACTCAGGTGTCGATAAATTCACCCAGAGTCCTGACGCTAAACCAGGGCCCGGCTTGGAACCTCAGAACACACACGGTTCATTCACTGAGGTCTGTACCCTCAAATTGATCCGGGGAAGAACTAAATGCGTTAAAAGGTGAGTGGCATTTTTAGGCCCTGGGTGGAATGCTGAAGCTCAGTGGGCTCCGGCCTCAGGAGGAACCCACTGAGTGGTAGGGCAGGTGGCCCCGAAGGAGCTGACGGCCAGCGGCCGGCGGGGACCCAAGGGGCCACGCCCTTGGTGGACAATCCACAGACAATCTCATGCTGCAGCCCGATTAACTCTCCAAACGCTTCAAGGGAAAAAACAGCTCATAGAACAATTCAGGTGGGGGATTCCTACTGCTCTTGTAAGAGGAGAAACCAGAGGTTCCAGTTGGATTCTGGCCATTTTCCACGTCTCCATGTCTCCCCCTCCAAGCACTGCCCCCACCCACAAGCGCCCAGACCCTGAAGCCTGCCCTGACCCCACCCCCGCGAGCCCTTGGCAGTCAGACCATCCCCAGGGGAAGCCTGTGTGCAGTTTGTCCGAGAAGCATGGTCCCAACCAGACACTCACAGCTGAAAGTGACGCAGTGGCCCCCTCCGCCCCAACGCACCCCCTGCCGGGCAGCTGCTCCTCCAGGGCTCCTCCGGCCCCGTGGACATGACCGTCCATCCGAGCCGGGTCAAGCCAGGTTGGGAGGGGCGGGAGTGGGGGCCTCTGGAACCCCTCAGCACTTGACCTGAGGCCTCCATGGCCACAAGCAGAGCCGTGCTCCAGGGAATCACACACACGGAGGGCACGCCGTTTTGTTGCATCTGCCATCTCGGTTCCCCGTGTCTGCAGCGTGGAGCTCGCCGGCCAAAGTCCAGGGTGGGGCAGGCCCAGGGGAGCACGAGGGGGTGCAGGGCTGCTTCAGACCCTCCCGGGTGCCCTCGGGGGTCAGCACGGTCCACTGGACACCGAGCACTTCATCTCTCCCCCACGGGTCGTATATCTTAATGTTTACGGTGAGTGTGAGCCTGAGTGCGTGTGTGCGCATGTGGGCACACGTGTCCACTCCTGAGCGGGCCAGGCCTGGCTTTCTTGTTGGTGCTACACCCACAGCACCAGCTCCCAGAGGAGGGGGCGGAGGGGCCAGGACTCAGGGAGGGGACCTCCTCTGGGAGGCGGTGGCCCTGAGGTGGGGCCCCGCCCTGCCCATCCCAGGCCCCACGTGAAGCATGCATGTTCCAGAGAGAACGGCCTCTCTGGGGGGCCTTAGGGGGTGATGCCCAACACGGGCATGCCCTGGGCTCCGGCCTGGGCACACAGTGGGCACTTGCAGGAATCAGTGTCCATGCAGAGGCGGCCAGCATGGCTCCCACCTTCCCAGAGCTGACGGCACAGAAGGATGGGCCAGATGCCGATGGGCTGGCGCGGGGAGAGGAGCTGGGGGTGCACGTGCCAGTACAAGGGACCCCCCCGACCTCCAGGCGGGGAGTCAGCAGCAAGGGCGGCTGGGGGCGGCGGGGTGCAGTTTCCACCTGAAGCTGGAGGGCCGCTGAAGCACCCGACGCCAAGTGGGCTCTGGGGACCCCTACCCTGCACGCCTGCCGGGTGCTGACCGTGTGAGATGGCAGGAGTGGGGACGCACCGCTGAGCTCTGGGCAGGAGACCCCGCCCACAGGGCTCAGGGGGGCACCAGCCGGCGAAACTCGCCCCCCGAATCCTGGTCCAAGGAAACAACAGGCCGTGTGTGGAGAGGCTCTGACCACCCTTTCTGCTGAAGGAGAAGGACGTGAGGGGAGGCGACACGAGACTGCGAGCCTTCGTCGGCTTTGTGTGACCTCCGCGGGCTCGCCTCTTCCGTCCCGCCTGCCGGGGCTGGACCCCGACACTCGGGGGGCTGAGCTCTAGCTCAGCCGCCGGGCTGCCCACCCTGCCCCTAGATGCAGCTGTGGGACCCAGCCCTGGATGAAATCACGACCCTATCTAGTGATTTCAACTTTTTTTTTCTAATTTTGGAAGAAGTAGATTGATTTATCAACGCTTAAAAATTTTTTTAGCTTGTTTATGACAAAAGAAGTTAAATAAAGGTCAATCTTGCCCCTGGCGCTGGGTTTTGCTGCTACTGCGCTCAGCAGGCGAGTCCGTCGCTGGAGGCCCCCGCGTGCTGGAGGCCGCTGGCTTCTTCCCCTGGCTCCCCTCCAGGCGGGCAAGGCGGGTAGGGAGGGGCTGTACGCGTCTGAGCATGCGCGGTGCCTCCTTTGAAGATGCTCGGCGCCGGTGGACCGGATCAGGAGGGGTGCGTGGTGTGGGTCTCCAAGCTCCGCGCTGTGGGTTGTGGCCTCTGAGGGTCCAGCCTCAGCCACACAGACTGAAACACACGTGACAGCACGTGAACAGACTTCCCACTGAACCGTCATACTAGCGTTGCCCGACTGCCGCCCTCCCAAGAAAACCAACGGCTGGTTTTTAGGCCCTAAATCCAGACATTCTCAGACATTTTCTTTCTTTCTTTTTTAAAATTTATTTTATTGAAGTATAATTGATTTATAATGTTGTGTTAATTTCTTCTGTACAGTAAAGTGACCGTTACACACACACACACACACACACATATATATATATGCATTCTTTTCCAGGTTCTTCTTTAATATGGTTTATCACAGGATATTGAATACAGTTCCCTGTTCTGTGCAGTAGGACCGTGTTGCTTATCTATTCCGTATAGAATAGTTTGCATCTGCTAATCTGAAACGCCCACCTCCTCCACCCTGCCATGCCCTTGGCAACCACACGTCTCTTCTCTGTGTCAGAGGTTCAGTAGGAAATACTTTAGGCTCTGTGTTCCATACAGTCTTAGTCATAGTTACTCAACCCTGCCATGATAGCAGCAAAACAATATCTGAGTGTGGCTGCATGCCAATAAAACTTTATTTGCAAAGGCAGGTCAGGGGCTGTGTGGCCCTCTACTCTGGTTTGCAGATTCTGTGTTTCTTCCTGAGTCAGGTCACCTTGGGGCGACCCCTGAGATCACTCAGTCCCACCTTCCCTGTCACAGAGAGACAGTTGTGTTCCCAAGGGTCATGACGAGCCGGGTCTGGGTCTGAGGTGCCTGTCCAGGGTGTACGGAGCTGTCTCTGCTTTACTCCTCTGGTTGTTGTTATTCAGTTGCTAAGTCGTGTCTGATTCTCTATGACCTCATAGACCAAAGCCCACCAGGCTCCCCGGTCTTCCACTATCCCCCACTATCTCAGAGCACTGGTCCTCTTCAATTTAGTTCAGTTCAGTCACTCGGTTGTGTCCGACTCTTTGCAAACCCATGGACTGCAGCACTCCAGGCCTCCCTGTCCATCACCAACTCCCGGAGCTTACTCAAACTCACGTCCATTGAGTCAGTGATGCCATCCAACCATTTCATCCTCTGTCATCCCCTTCTCCTGCCTTCAGTCTTTCCCAGCATCAGGGTCTTTTCCAATGAGTCAATTCTTCTTGGACCATAAAGAAAGCTGAGCACCAAAGAATTGATGCTTTTGAACTGTGGTGTTGGAGAAGACTCTTGAGAGTCCCTTGGACTGCAAGGAGGTCCAACTAGTGGACCCTAAAGGAAATCAGTCCTGATTACTCATTGGAAGGACTGGTGCTGAAACTCCAATAATTTGGCCACCTGATGCGAAGAACTGCTCCTCTTGCCATGGCTTAAACCCATTCAGTGGGGAATCTGGTTGCGTCTTCAGTCAGGGGACTGAGGCCTGGTATGTGGGACAGCCCACTGCCCTCGGGTGGGCTGGAGACGCTACATTCAGCCCTGATGGGCTCAGCTTGTGTTTGGGCTGAGTCGTGTCCCCACCCTGCCAGGTCGATAGGTAGAAGTCACAGGTTTTGAGAATGTGACTGTTGGGAGGTGGAGCCTTTAAGGAGGTGATAAGGGTAAATGAGGTCATGTGGACCCTCGTCCACTGTGACTGGTGTCCTTGTACGAGGAGATCAGGACACAGACATGCACAGAGGGGCCACGTGAGGGCTTCTGCCTGGCAAGGAGAGAGGCCTTGGGAAGACCCTCCTGCCCACACCTGGGTCTCCAGGCTGGGAGAGAACAAACCTCCGTTTAAACACCCGTTGGCGGTCCCTGGTTTAGACAGCCCCCGGACACTGAGACAGCCTGCTTGCAGTGGGTTGACAGGATTGATGTGCTTGCTAAGAAGTGAGGCCAAGATTTCCATGTACCTGGCTGGGCTTTTCCTTGAACCTCTGTCTCCACTCCCTGGACCCCCTGGGGACCCCTCTGGGAAGGGGGAAGGCGGACACAGGTTCAGGGTGCAGCAGGAAAGCCCACCACATCTGGAGCCCACCACCTGCACGTGTGCTTCTGCGAAGCCTCACGGGGTGGGGCAGAGGCTGTGTGTGGGGATTTGGGCAGGTCACCAGGAGACAGGCGGAGGCCAGTCTCTCAGGACAGCAGGAAGTGCGTCCAGGCCGTCATCACACCGTGGAGGCGGGGGGACTCGTCTGCTGTGCTCCTGACACTTAGACCCTCCCAAGGAAAGAGCCCCCGGATGGCAGGGACCCGCGAGGACCCAAGGCTGGCAATTCTGTTTTATTGAACATGAGCAGGAGTGGCTTCAGTCCTGGAGGAGAGCCCCTAAATTAAAGTTGGTGGTCAGAGCGTCCTTGAAGACTTTAAACCTTCTAATTTTACCCTCCATCGTCTAAGATCACTTTCACTCTGAGATGAATCAGCTGTGACACCCCAGTTGGCAGCGATTTCGCTTCCTCTCCAGCCCGGAGACACAGCCCCCGACGGACAACGTCGCCTTCAGACGCCAGCCCAAAGTTCTGTTCTCGTGGTTTTTCAAAATAAAAACATGTGATCTGTCTTTTTCTCTATAGCAATTTTTTTTTCTTTCACAAGCCTAAGAAACATTAGGCAGACTCGATGGGGCCTGCCCTGCCCAGAACGGGAAAAGAAAGGCTGAAACGAGTGCAGAGAGAAGCCCGCCAGAGGGAGGGAGAAGCCAAGCGGGCTGGCAGGTGCAGCGAGCTCGGAGGTGTGGGGCTGGCGGGCGCATCCCTCTGTGGGGCCGCGCAGACCTGCAAATGAATGAAAATATTTCCCAAACACACCAAGATGTTCTGCGCGCGCGTGTCAGAGAGACAATGGGCGCAGACGTGGCGGAGCCTCCCGGCCGTGGCCCCGCGCCAGCCTCGCGCCAGCTGTGCGGTGCGCCAGTGTCACGGCAGCTGTATTCAAACGAGAAATTAAACCTCCTTCTGTTTAATGCGCAGCGCCTTTTTCGCTCTCAAAGAGGAAGCATTAGCAATTAGGGGATGTGTATTTCCCGGCCGCCGTGGATCTGCCGGTTTTTGTTCGGGGTGTCTGCGATCTCTAATTCGGGCACAGGAGGGGGCCGGGGGTGGCCAGGGTCCCTGGCAGGGAGAGAGCTGTGACTGCCTCGCCCCGAGCAGAACGGGGTCTCCGATGTGCTCGGCTCCCTCCTTGGACGTGATAGTCCTTTATCCTTGACTGCGTTCAGGTTCGGTTTCGAATGGGAGGTCACAGGAGGGGCAGGGAGGGAAGACAAGAGAAGCAGAGAAAGAGAGAAGGAAAGGGGGAAAGGACAGAGAGAGGGCTCGTCCATCCGCAGACACACGGAGGCCTGGAGTGTCTGCTTGCCACACTTGGGAACCGGGAGCCTGACTCCTGACAGCCTCAAAGGCCCCTGCGAACCACGTCCTGGACAGCACTGTCACTGTTCAGAGCGAACTCCCGGCGGTAGGAGGGGTGAACAAATGTGAACAATGGTCCCCTCCATCCCTGGGCCAGCCCGGAGCCCTGCCGGGAGAGAAGAGGAAGGAGGGGAGCGCGGGACAAGCCGGGTGCCTCTCCGAGAGGCCCCCGTGTGGGCGGACTTGCAGAAGGAGAACCTCCCTTCCTCCGGCACTGCGCCCGGCTCCCGGCGATGCTGACCCTCGAGCTGGACGCGGCCATGGGGCCCCCTCGACTCTGACGACGCCGAGATCCTCT